ACATCAGCACGTTTTGTCCACCGGGAAAATCGATACCTTGTTTAGAGCTGAAATTGGACAGTCAATGGGCACAATCATCTGTTTCCAATGACAGTAAATGGCAGTTACTGGAATCAGAATGTCAACTGTTTGGGACCGACCAGCAATCAACACTGCGGATCAATTTTTCCACTTACTTTGCAGTTATAAACATCAAGCCATATAAACCCATACATTATGTATGGTTAGAGGAGTAAGATGCATCCAGGTGTAGCCCAAGGTGCAAATCAGCAATGGCTTAGAGGCAAGTTCAGCCTGTAAAAACAGGAGTTTACAGCACCATAAACACAGGATTAGCTACGTCTAGCTTGCTGGGATATCGAGCTGTTTGTGTGTGGAGAAGTTGGTGAAAATGAATTTAAAGCAGCGATCCGGCTGGCAAACATACAATTATGTATATAAACTTCAGTATTTGCAACATAAGTGAGTGAATTCACTATCTGTTGGGCTGATTAGGAGAAAAGCAAATATAAAAACATAACTAGGGTTTAAGAGTTAGATGTACAGTAGTAAAACAGGAGGGGTTGCAGTTTTCAAACACACATGTCCTCATTTTTCTGCTGTCTATTTTTGTTCCATTGCTTGATTAGGTGCAAATTTATTCCTATCCTTGCTAAATTCTTGTCCTGCTTAAAAAAAAAGGCATGTCCAAAGTTATTCAGTTTGTCACTGTCCATTCTGTTTTTCTGACTGTAACAACATTCTTTGGATTTCGACCAAAGCCTTCTGGGCATACAGTTTTTTTTTTTTTTGTTTTTTGTCTTTTAAGAGTTTATCCAATCTGTGCTCAGATTCTGGATTAGCTTCCAGATTGCACCTAGTTTCTCCTGATTGTTCTCCTAAGCGTAACTAAACAGTTATCTAGGTAAGACATGTAAATTATAAAATAGTAAGTAGAAAATAACTTTTCGAGTGAAAGTTTAAAGAGTGAAAAACTCAACTCAAGTAATTATTATACGGTCGTAGCAGTAGGCCTGAAAGCCTGGAGTTTGACATCCCAATGTAGACGATGTAGCAGTTTTAACTTTTCTTCTCACCATGCAGTACAAAAGTTTAACTCAAATTTTAGATTTTTGTGTCAGAAATTAGGAGCAACATTTAATTTTTAAAAATAAAAAAGAGAACTACTTTTATTTTTAGCTGGTTCGTTTAAAAATTGCAGTTTGAATCGCTGACAATGACAAAAATACACAATGGAGAAGGATTATTTTGCTAAAAATCAACAGCAACCCCCCCATAAAATTACAATTCCAACCATCCATATATGCAATTCATCCCAAAAATGTTGAAATGACTTGGAGAAAACTGCTGGTATATCTACAGGGTATAGAAAATAAGGTTTGCAAACGGTGGTTTTGCTTTTATTTTGCTTTGAGAGTAAAAGTTTCTTCCTTTCTCTTTTGGCCTCTCAGCTCATTGGTACAAACCTCGCTTCACTGTGAACAGTGATGTTCTCTCAACAGCTTTACACAGCATCCTCACAAGGTCTTCAGCTGTTGTTTGTGAGGTTGATACACACTTTGTTTCAAAAAAAAAAAATATTCGACTCTTTTCTCTCTTTCACAAACAAAAGTCATTTTGATTGTTGCAACGGACGTAAAACATTAAAAGCTTAGTCTGACAGTGGGACAAAAGGGGTATTTTCTCTTTTTATACAGTCTCCAGTTTTAATTGTGTATAATATTTAACTGTGCTACCATTATTGTTCTCAAGCTAAAACTGCTGTAGTTAAAGTGCAGATTCTTCAGTATTTGCAACGAGACACTGCAGATCTTCTGTTAATCTGTTGTTGAGAGTAAAATCTGATCTGCCATCAACTGATGGGGTTCAAAGCTCAGAGCCAGGGAATTAAAAACGCTAAACAAGGTGATAAATTATGGATATTCATTCAAAATTAAATGTATAAATGAGTAATGCCATCAATAAATCATTAATAAATACTTTACCAAACAAATAAATGTCCACATGAAATAAAAAACAGACACATAATTGGTCCAGTTAGAACCACGTGGGTTTTAAAAAGCTTTTGTTGAAACAGAGAAGAGAAAAGTTCCCGTACTCCAAAAATATTCCACCTCTTTCATTCTTCCCTGTCAGATCCAAGAATATTGTTACTGAGTCCAGAACTCGGCCTAGATCAGTTCACTGAAGTTAAGATTTTCACTTTTCAAAAGCTCTTAGCTGAACCCACTTAAAAATAAATAAATAAATAGTTACTGATTAAGACGGACAGAAAATCTTTTTACGTTGCCCATTAATCCATGTTGCTCTTGGCTCTTCATTGGGTTAAGTTAAGCCACCAACACAAGGAGGTCAACTCTAAACATTAGTTTCTTCGTGAAAGTTGTAAAACCATCAATGCTGACAGTAAAATGCAGCCTGCCACTCCACAACATATTTCCAAATCTCTCTTTTCTGCTTTTCTTCCAAAACAAGAAAAAAAACAAAAAAAAAACTTTGTGCTGGCAGAGCAACTTTCCCTATGTTTTCATTTCAACAAAACAAAACTGTTTATTTTTTTCAGTAGATTTTTTATGTTTTACTTTTGGGACTTAAAACAAGCAGAAAAAACAGAAATCCAACCCTGTCGTCATTGGGGGTCATATTTCATTATTCTTTCATCAGCCGTTATGGTGTCCCTTCGCTGTTCCTCGTTAGTCTTTGAACAAAAAGACCCATCGAGGCATAAACGCGTGTGCGTCATTGGGGAGAAGATAACAGTAGTGCAGGTGATTAGAGGTCACTGCATCCTGGCTGGGGGTGGAGCTGGGTGGGTGGGGTGTCATGGCGGCATGGCCGTTAAATGCCGTAGTGGGAAACGGAGGAAATGTGTAGCGGGGACGCAGGGCCCCATCACCTCAGGCTTCTCCTGACCGCCTGTGATTGATGGGGAAGAGCTGATGAGCCAAGCTCCCAATGTCACTCTACAATTAAATAACTCTCACCGCTGAACTGCTGCGGACCCATCCTCCTCCTCCTGCACTGTGATAAACCTCCCCCGTCTCCTCCCTTTCGCCTCCATCTCTATTTTCTTGTTCTCTACCCTCTCCCCTCCTTTCACTCTTTGCCACTCTTTTTCTTTTATTTTTTTAAAGACATGTGACAATCTCAATATGATCCACCCTAAAATGTCACCTTCTTTGCTTTTGTCACTTGTTTACCCGAATCCGGGAAGCAGGTGTTTATCCTCAGCTGCTGGTTGTCCAATTCAAACTTTGCCAGCTGTTCTTCCAGGTATGACAGACAGAGGCTGCTCTTTCTATTAGTTTGGGTCAGCGCTCCCTTCCCAAACGAGAAGGAGCTGCACACTATTGTAACGCGGCTGTTTCCAAAAATGCAAATAACGCTGAGGAAAAACACAAAGAAGATAATCCATCCATGACTAATGACTATAATATGAAACCTAATGTGGAAACAGGTGTTTAATAAACTTGGATAAAAATATGTAAACCATGCGCTCTGAGGCAAACTCCACAGAGCAAGCTGGAAGAGGCTGCAAAGACTTTTACTTGAATAGTGTGATGATGCATACAGAGTTTGCTGCATATTGCCACTAATTAGGCCTATGACTAATATTGGTTTGTTCACAGTGGGCTGTAGTTCATAGAAGCCAACCTTATTCTGCATTCTTTTGTCACCCGATGAGCTCACTTTGCAGCTAATTGGGCAAAGAATAAAACTCTCAGCGCACAAATGTGTATCTCCTGGAGAGCGTTTGGGATGTTAGAGGGAGTTAAGATGCGATAAACGGACTTTTGAACATAAATGTTCCATGCATTTCAAACATATTCATCTTTGAAAAGTGCCTGTGTTCCAGATTAAAAAAAAAGGACAGAAGACAAATGCACACCAGACTTTTCACTGTTTTTATTTGAAAAGCACACGATCGGTTTCCGTTGGTGTTTTTTATTTATTTATTTTTTTGGGGGGAGCTGTCACATCACCACTGATGGAACATGGAGGTGGCAGCTTAATGATACGGGAAAGCTTTTCTTCAGGAATGACAGAAACAAAGTTCAGAGTTGATGGGAACATGGAGTCGGCTAAATGCACGGAAATCACTGAGGTAAACCGGTTGGTGGTCAGGGACTGAGGTTTGTCTCCGGCCAGAAAATGACTGCAGACGTCCAGAGCCAGAACAGAAATGGTTTCATCACAGCATAATAATGGCTAAATACAGAATGTGTGGCAAGACATGAAAATTAATGTTCACAGATGCTCTCTACATAATCTAATTACGGAATCAGATATTTTGCAAAGTAGAATGAGCAAAAAGTGTCTAGCCTTGTAATGTTCTTAGGAACCCGATTGGATCGGTAGGGGAATGTACAATATGCCACACGTTTCTAGATAAAACTGCATATTTTTGCTCCACATTTCCAATTAAAATCCCAATAAATATGCTGAGGTTTGTGGTTTTAGTGCGACATAATCTAAAACTAGAAATGGGCAGCGCTATTTTAATCTATTTTTACCCGTATGGAAGTAAAAAGACATTGATGCTGCACACGTATCTCTGAACTCACCATCCCCATGGTAGGGGCAGCATCATGCTGGGGAATAATTCCTTCTTCAGTGGAGACAAAATGTGAAAAATGTTCACTTTTTAAGACACTGTATGTGTTATTAAAGGTTATGCAACCCAACATAGAGACAATTATTTCTGGTCATCAACCTAAACAAAACATCCCTATGGTGAGATAAAGTGGTAGCAGCATCATGATGTGGGAATCTGTACAATGATCTGTTTTATAAAATATTGAAGTTTGTGGTTGTAAGTAGGAAAAGTTTAGTGAGTTTTTCCAAGATGTGTACATGAGAAATGTGCTGTTTTTACATGCTACTGGCAGGATTAACTCTCAGCGCAGCAGGAGGTGAATGTATGATTCCTCTCATTGGTTAAAAGATGTCAAGGAATTTGCATTGACTTATTTTCTCTTCCACTTCTTCCTCTTACCACCACCAAGGCATTCATTCAGCAGCATACACGCCATCTGCTGCCAAAAACTTGGCAGCTATAATTTTTTGGTTCTCCGTTGCTTCTTGCCAGACGCACCGCGTGTGTCTTCTGGCTTTATCACCTCGCCAACTTATTTTTGGTTTACAAAAAAAAAAAGGAGAGAGGAAAAAAAAAAAACTCCATCCTCTCCAGTAAGGAGAGGATTTGGCTCGGATGAGAGCGTAATTTCCCGTCTCCACTCCGTTGCTGCTGCCGCCGCTGCTGCGCGTCCCTTGTCGCCCTGTACAGTACAAGAGGGATGTAGAGACTAAACCCCGAACCCTGCAGCTGGGGTTCCCTGCACACCACCGAGGCGACAGTGCGCAGGAGAGAGATAGAGAGCGAGAGAGGGAAGTATGGAAGGAGGGAGGGAGGGAAGAGGAGAAGGTGAGAAACAGAGACGGGGAAGAGTCAGAAGCGCCATCTCCCTGCTGTGGCTGAGCGTTTACGCGCGATCCGAGAGCACATCTCCAGCCTCTCCGGGACTAATTCCACCATGACAACTTCCAAACTCCCAATTCTCACAGAATCTGGCTTCCTTTACGGGCTGCAATAAGAGAGGGAAGGTGCAACTTTTACTGGCGGAAATCATCCATGTGAAGTTCCTTTGGTAAGTAAATGTTCATGTTTTTATTTTTTCATTATTATTATTATTATTATTATTATTATTATTATTATTATTATTATTATTATTATTTTATTTTGATATATAGAATGTGCATTTATTTATTTTTTATTTTTATTTATTTATTTATTTATTTATTTTATTTTATTTTATTTTATTTTTTTTTTTTGGGGGGGGGGGTCATTTCCCCTTTGTTCTTCAATTATTTTATGCATTTGTTTGGTTTTT